GCCATAATACCATTTCCCGTTGCTTTAGTTCCGTACAATAGCCTCGGTTCATACATAGCGAAGGACATGCCTGGCAGCCTTTTTCACACCCTCTTACAGGCATTCATAGACAGTTTCCGGTCAATCCCTGATACAGAGCAGAAAACATTTTTCTCCGTTGCGTGTAGGTATCCAGGACACATGTGCATGCTCAGCCTGCCAGCACAAACTGTAGTTTGTTCAACTATTTTGACTACAGCTTGACATCCCTACTCGATTTAGAGACTCACCCGGTTCCATCCCCAGGCGTACACTTTTCCTTCCGAAGTCAGACCAACTGTATGGCGCCATCCCCCTGCAGCCTGCATAGAGACAATAAACAGCAGCAGGTTCATTCATAAAATTTGTCAGAACACAACGACAGATTCACCAAATGTCCGTTACATAGTATGTCCCCGTAATTTGTAAATGAGCACAAATTTCCATCCATCCATCCATCCATCTGTCCATCCATCCTTTCATCTCTCCATCTGTCTTTGTCCCTGCATCCATGTGTCCATCTATCCCTCTGTCCGCCACCCCCCCACCCTTCCCGTCCCTCCCTCCCTCCCTCCCTCTTCCGCCCATCCCTTTGTCCGTCCCTTCACCGATTCAACCACCCATCCATCAATTAAATTGAGTCAAATATATTCAATATAACCATATAACCAAAGTGTGAGGCACAGGGCCTCGATATGCCCTACAGGGCCTATTTTTTTATACAGTCGGCCGCCCTAAGTGAAGGCAGGCACGACCAAGGCCTACAGGCCATTTTGGGGTCACCACACAACTGGGGAAATTCAGGCAGTTGCGCAGCGCCAGTTGGTTGGAAGTGCCCAGGCCCAGGCTGCCTTTCATTGCATGTAACTGAGGCAGGCCCGGGGCCAGATACACAAAGTGGACCGAACAAAGGCTGAGGGCAGTTGGGTGCTGGTAACCACCACAGGCCCTGGGCCTGTTTACTTCGGACTGAGGCTCAGCCTCGTGGGGCCTACCGGAAGCTTCTGGGCCAGGGCCCAGTACCGCATTACCGCACGCAGCAGCAGGCCACTTCGATATAGAGAAGGGCCTGCCTATGCACTGGACATTCGGGCACTGGCTGCATCCTGCGCAAGCGCTGCTGCGCTAACGCTGGTCAGGCTCACGCGCTCACGGGCGAGCTGGAAGGAGCAGGCAGCCATAGCCGAGCTGCGCTGCTGTATGCTGGGTGGGGCGCATGGTGGTCCTTGGGTGCAAGTGGCATCCGTGAGTTGGGGAACGAGGTTGTGAGTGATACGAGAGACATACCTGGTGCTTGACGAGTGCGGCATTGGCCGAGACCTGTTTGTACTTGGGAAGCTGTTGACGTCGTCAGCAACATTGTAGTCTAGGCTAGATAGGATCTGCCATTCGTAGTCTGGGCGCGGAGCACCAGATAGGATATCAACATTGGTTCTTCGTTGATGATGATGAGACTATTCCAGCATTGTCAATTATGAGCTTTTGGTGAAACTCGTGATGCAATTCTGCTATTGGTTCGAGGTCACGACTATCTGGTCTCATGTGTCTGATACTGTTTGATTGCTGAAGTTCGCTATTGCTCATCTTCCTTGCAAAAGTGAATGGAACCCGAAAAATCCAAAAGAACTGGATAACCAAATCTCCATTCCCATCAGTACCTTCTCGATTGGTGGGAAACTGCACCTTCACAGGCGCCAGAGATCTGAGCTCTTCACTTGGGGCATGACTGCAAGGAACAATGCACTGAAAGGGGACAATGAGCATAATCGGTGAAGTTGTATACTAAACAATGTAGTATATACCAATCAAGGCCTGTGGAGGTCTAGACTGCGGGCCATGGGAAGGGTCAATCCTTCGGACAGAAATTTCAGAAAACTTTGTGGATATCGTGTTGATGTATTAGGGAAAAAAAAATAGACCGGGAATGAAAAATCAGCCAAAACAATCCTGTCCAGGACGGGATGCACATGATTGCCCCCTCCTTCTGTGACCCAGAAGGCCCAAAATCCTTCGATATCGTGCTCCAGGATCAGGTTTGAGAAAAATGTGTTCGAGGACAGTGTTGGTATAAAATTTTAAATGCTTCTTAATTTTAGATCACCCCCCCTTGGCATTGGCTACAACAAGCTTTCACTGTGGCCCCAGCATCTCCTTAACACTATCTGAAAAACAACCTGAAGGTTTCCACAAACAGCCCACACAAGATGAGCCCCTGCCACAATTCCACTCCTATTTTGTCTGTGCTCAACCCCCCCTTGTTTCACTGAAAATAGAGTATTCATTTTACTCAAATTTAACACAATTCCACCTCGGAAAGCAGGACCATGCACTTATAGTGCCTTCTCCCCCATTGAAACCCACATTAAACATATACTTCGATCCAGCATTCTTCCTTCCTTGGAAAAAAATAACACCACCAATGCAACACCCTGCAGGTCTTTCCTTGATTGAGACACAGATTCATACATAGATAAAGTTGATAAACAGATACATGCACAGGCACAAAAAAAAAAAAAAAACAGAAGCAACATGATTGAGTCCTTCACGACGTCCGCTAAAATTGGAACAATACAGAGAAGATTAGCATGGCCCCTGCCCAAGGGTGACACACATGAATCGAGGGGAAAGAACTTCCAAGAACTTCAAAAAAGCAACATGATTGAGACCTGCAGAGTCGTTCAGACAATGCACATTGAGTGTCCTGTTCATGTAGAAAATAGTTGGGAAAAAAAAAAAAAAAAACTTTTAAAAAAGTGAGAAAATACTAAAATAGGCAAGTGAAGGAGGGCGAGATGGTCAACCTCTGATATTATAAAATCAGTAAGTGCATCCACAATATGAGGGACGAGGTGGTCGCGGTAATCTCCATGCCCTAGCTGTCCATATTTGCTCCAGCCAAAAGTGTAAAGTCGCCCCGAAACAGCAACTGCAATGGTGTGCCTCCACCCACACGCAACTGACTTCATTGGTTCATCCTGTGCACACAAACAAAATTTCTGTCATACCAGGACGATATTAATGAAGTCCCATCTTCCCATTTTCTTTTCAACTCCCTCTTCTTTGTCCTCCTCCTCCCTCTTGTCATACTCAGATCAATCTTTGTATGTCCTTGTGAAATATACTTCCCCTTTCCACTGGCAACTCGATCCGCATCCCTCACACTCGCACACAGTCACATGTGCATGGACACACACGCACACAAACACACACACACACACACATAGAGACACACATACACACACACACACGCAATGCACATACGCATGCGCACACACACACACACACACACACACACACACACACACAAAGTTATGAAAGAATTGCAACTCAGATAGAAGAAGAACGAGGAAAGGGTCCTTCGGGACATCGGTTAAAATTGGAACGATGCAGAGAAGATTAGCATGGCCCCTACGAAAAAAAAAAAAAAAGAAAAAAAAAAAAAAGAAGAAGAAGAAGAAGAAGAAGAAGAACGAGAAATGGGAAGAAGAAGAAGGGAGGAAAGAAGAAGAAGAAGAGAAACACAAGTTGGAACCAATATCATCTCCCTCCTTATCCCCATCATCGCTCCCACTTTATCACCTCTAGTATCGTGGTAAGAATAATCAACAACAACAGCGAATGAATGAACCAGAAGCAATGTCAGATTGTTCCCCCCTACTGCCAGCCGTGGAAAGAGCTCTGCTTTAGCGTACTTCACAATCCTTCCACACTGGCATGGCTACTGACCATGGCAGTTAACAAAGGCTACCTCTTATGCTCAACGAACAACACATCTTCTCCCCTCTCCACTACCACCAAGTCTACAATACCTGTAGAGTTCATCCCCAACCGGGTCCTTGATTTAGCACAAACCATGAACCTGAAGATGTCAGTCAACCATAGCCGAAGGTCAGTCTTCTTGTTGGCTCCCACAGCGTGGCTAGTGGACACTCTCCCTTGCCTCCATAGCCTAGAGCTACTTCAACCTCTCCCCACTACTCCATAGCCGTAGAGGTCTTCTCCTTCACCCTCCGGCTAGACCTTCAACCTCCAGGACGTCCACCAACTTCTCCCTCAAGGTGGAGCACCAGCACGGCTGCCGGTTGAATGAGCAAAGTGCTTACTTGTCCCGACTGATGTCCTCTTGCTCACCCCCCCCCTACAGACCTTTCCGCCGGGTGCTACTCCCACGCCGGTGCACTAGGCCCACCAGGAGTTCCTGCCTTTGGACGGGAACATCATTTCAGTCTGCAATCATACCCCAGGTCCTGTACCTAGCCTGGAATCTACCTACATACGGCCTTCAGTACTCATGACCTCTTTTGGCATCTATCGGAGCTTTTAAGCCTTCCGGCTTCAGATTGGCCAACCTGAGTTGCTGGAAGATCCCTACTGGGTATTAGACAAATTCTACTTCTGCCCCTGTCTGTCCTGGCCTTCCTGCAGGTGTGTCCGGTGCCCAATTTCACTCTTGTCCCTGTAGTTGTATCTACTTGCTACTTTGTCCCTGGTTGAGTCACAGCCACACATCATGGGCAACAGAGTTAGCACACGGACCCAGACTCAGACTCAGGCCAGCACACCGCACACATACGTTAGTGGCAGTTCACATATCACCCACAAACTTAGAAAACACTGCAAGTCGTGACAAAACAGCATCAAAATCGGACTTTTCAGAAATCAGATCAAAAGACAGCACTTTTTCAGAAAATTGCAGACATCTCAGACTACCATTTGTGTGGATCATTGTATCACACTAAGTGCAAGAACATCACTTGAATATGCAAGAAGTAAAAGCACCATTAGATGTGAAGCTTACTTGTACCAATTACAATTCCAACCATCCAGGACAATGAGGATGAATACAAACATCGATGGGTTTAGTAAAGAATGGCCTTTTCAATTATTCTCTTTCTTTAACACGTTTGGGGAGAAAATCGACACACATGTGCATGTGAGCGTGCACGGGCGCGCACACACACACACACACACACACACACACACACACACACACACACACACACACACACACACACACACATGACAGCACACACTCCAACCTGTTTGAATGCAACCATGTGAAGAGGCGTTCTAGATAGCCAAACGCACCTCAACAGCTGTAACTAGTGCTGGAAGCATTCTATCCTGGCGATCGCCATGGCCAAGATTCCCATACTTGCCCCATCCCCAACCGTAGAGTTTTCCATCCTCAGTAACTGCTGCGGTGTGCTCTGCACCAGCTGCAAGCATTTTCACCTTACATCCCTGTGCAAGAGACTGGTCACACATGCATTGTACGAATATCTCATTACCAACATAATGCCATCTCAACTTCTTAATTTGGCATTTGTTATTCGTTTCACTGCAGTGCTTCAGCCGGTAACAATGCACACATACCAGGTTTGCATTTGTATTCACATCGTACAGTGCTCTTCGCAAGCACTGTAGATACACAGGTCGAAATTTATGCCTCCAAATTAGAAGCTAAGAGAGATTAAAAAGACTCAGATCAAAATCCGAGGAAACGAAAGTGATGTCCAGAATAGCAATACAAACTTATTACAAAGTTATTACACACACCTTTTGTCCGAACTCCAAAGCATTTTCGGATTTTCCATATTGTTTATCCATGAACAAATGCCTGTCTGTCCCTCTCTCTGTCTCTTCGTGTCTCTCCGTCTGTCTATCTGTCTCTCCTATTTTCTATATGGACGTTATACACCTCATCAGACAAAGCTTACCTAACCTGATCAGTCACCTCACCCTAGCACCACCTGTTAGCCTGCTACTGGGCTTCTCTTCCAAGTTCCCAGATATGGAGAGCAGCTATGGCTACAGAGTCCACCTTGTCAGTGTGTTCTTACCAGCACCGATCAAGATGGCTAGTCGTGATGCCCTACCTATTGGGGCCAAGAGTAAAAGCAGCAAGTCTATGTTCTACGTCGAATCTACGGTTCTACCAGACCTGCATCCCACCAAATTTTTCATACAAATTCTGGCCTTGGGTTGTCTAGTGTCCCCAGTCATCTCTTAATATTTAGGGGGCCACGCTCCACTGGCATCGGTGGAGCCTGGCCCCTTAGCCAAGTGATACAAAATTACCTCTGTGTGGAGGAAGTGCAGCATGGGTAAATGTACCCACCCAGAGTCTGGCTCTCTTGAAAACTCCGGGCGAACCTCATCATCATCATGAGAGCCATGATATACAGTTGTATATAGCTTCAGCAACTAGTGTGCTGTGGCTAACGTTCTTTTAAGAGGTCCATTCAAGCAAAGGAAGAAAGATTCACGTCTACAAATTCAAAGACAAAGGCATCCGATCAAATCCCAGATATGAAGGCATACACTTGACAACGCTACTGGCAAAAGTTTCTTCAAGATTAATAATTCCCTTATCAAGGAGCAAGCCATTAGGGAACAGTGCGACAAGTATGGGATTAAATTGGAGAGAATTCTCGAGGGCAAAATCAATTGGTTTGCTTTCGAAAAGGAGAGGAGAGGAGAGGAGAGGAGAGGAGAGGAGAGGAGAGGTGAGAAGAGGAGAGGAGAGGAGAGGAGAGCTTTCCGAATGGATTTGTTAGCTTTTCCATCCAAACTCCAGCCTGAATCCATCTCCATCCAAATGTTGGATTCTCCATCGATTTTGACCTATGGTTTGACAGTGAACTGCTACATAAAAGTTAGCGCCAGGAATCAAGTCCATCTGAGACGGCCAGGCGACTGTCTAGGTTGAGCAGTTCCGCTGCAATCAGTGATCTGCTGACAGCCTGGGCAGTCGACCCCCCGGGGTATCCCAGGCGGCCAGCGCTGTGTAGGACTGCGCCCTGCCCCCGGGGATGAGACAGCCGGGGCCACAGACAAAGAGTAGGGGTTATGCAGCAATTAACAATGGGCCAAGGGCTCCCCGGTCACTGAAGCTCCGATGTCAGACTTAGCAGTTTTGTCAGGAGTACTCCCTTTCTTCAGCCGACGCCACCTGGTGGCAATATATTGGAGTGGGAGGAAATTGCATGCACAGGAATAGAGGCCCCCAAGGGTTTAGGGTCTTCGCAGGCAATCTGCCCTGGCCAGACTGAGAGGGACGACTCGTGGCTGTTTTTGGATGTTATGCAGGAACGAATCAATGTGTTCGAGAAGGGATGTAGGGCTGAACATTGCGGGGCCGCACTGACAGTCAATCCTTTCTCAAGGAAGCACTCAAGCATTGGAGAAGTCTTTTTTTTTTTTTTTTTTTTTTATTATTATTAAACTGATCAGAACAGATACTACACTTGATCTTAGCCAATTGGAGAAGTCTTATTAATGTATGGAGGGATTTTTTTCCTGAGCAAATAAGACAGCCAACCTATTAAAAAGAGGTCCTCCGCCAACCGTTATTCGGGAACACAGTCATAACTGATGGGAACAGAAAACTGTGGAGATTCTCAGGGAACGAATAACCCACTGGAGAGAGCATGGGTGGAATGGGGAGTGTGGCAAATTAACCATCTGTGGGACCAGACTTCTAACACAAGGAAATCCATCCGGCAACTAAGACCACCGACACTAAAAGTTTGACATTATCTGGAACAAAATGCAGATGAAATATGGTGGACGCACAGCAGCATAGTAGCATACCTTTGATTGGTAAAAACTTCTTAAAGAAAATGAAAGATGGAAGCAAGGGGATTGGGCTACAGTGAAAGCCCAATCCAATCCAATCCTTCGGTGGCTCCAAATTTTGCCTACTGATGACAAGCAAGGGCTTTCACTGTGTTTGAGATATTTGCGCCTAAAGATCAATCAAAAACCTTGGCAGAAGCAGACTGGACATGGAGCCAGGACCATAAAGACCTGTTCTAAGTTAAAAAAAAAANAAAAAAAAAAAAAAAAAAAACACTTGGCAGAAAGTTACCAGAAACCTTAGAGCAGGAGCTAACAACTCTGGAATTTAATGTGCATCAACTGTGCCGCAAGGTGAGAGCATTGAAAAAGCCACAGAGAAGGGGTAAGGGTCAAAGATGGACAACTTATGAAAGGGGCAAGGAAAAGGATTCAAAGGAAGAGAATGAGCTCAGGGCATCATAAGCAAACGGAAGTGTTGCCAGTGCTATATAGGATGATTGATCAGGGACATAGAAGAGTTGGAGTTTGATCCAGCGAAATGGGGATGGTAACTTTCATCTGAAAAAGAGGGGGGGGGGGGGGGGCGCCGGGGGGGCGCTCGTAGATTGATCATGATGAAAGAATAAACGGTCAATAGGGGTTATTGTGTAAGAGAGAACTTGGCAGACCCGGCTTTGATTATTATTGCACAAAGATGGCCCAAGCATATGCAGATCCCCTTGGACGTCATGAATCATCCGCCCTGGGGGGTATATTACATCTCCATCAGACCACAGAAAGTTACAGGTTTACAGTGGCTTTTGCTTGATCGAGCTGTCCCAGTAGTAAATGAATGGCCGGACGGAGAAGAAGACAAAGTCTCAGTACGGCGGAATCCCCGTTATGCAGAATGCGTGACTTTATTTAAGTTTATTTAACTTTATTATGATTCCAAAAACAATCAGCAGCCCACTGTTTTGTGGAACGTCAACATGCAGACAGAATTATGGCAAAGAGCCATCAAAAAATGGGAAAATCTGTCGGAGAAAAAATGTCCCCAGCCATACCTTTATATTAAATAGCTCTGCCTGCTGATGGTGGGGGTAGCTCATGAGGAACAGGAATAGGAATGTCAGGCAGGCAGAAAGATAAGATGAGAGGGGAGACACAAGGACGCTCATTGTCATGGGGGCGGAGCAGAGTGGTGTATCCTTTCTTAGAAAAGGAAGTGATCACTGTGGCTGCCTCAGGGTCCCTCATCCATAAAGGGAGGAAGGACGGAGTGGGTTTTTCATGTAAGGGACGTTGGACCCACTTTCGAACTACAAAAAAAAAAAAAAAAAAAAAAAAAAAAACACGCAGAGATCCGAAATGGCTATTTTAGCATCAGCATAGATTGAACAATCTGTCTTTCATTTGAAGTATTTGGGCACCTGCACATCAGCCGAAAACATTGCATGCATGTGTTTCAATAACTTCAATTGGACATCACAGTTGCCCCCACCTCCCCATCTCGCCATTTGGAGATTTTGGAGTGATAGGCTGTAGTGTGGCAGATGGCGCAAATGGTTCCCTCACCCCCCCGCCTCGCCCTGTTTTTCTCACACCTGGAGTTATATGTTCCGCCGGGCCTATAACGGGCTCATCTTGTCATACAACTCGGACCTTTAGCCATTAGATAAAAAACATAACTGCCCATTAGACACATCCGGGTACAACAAAAGCGCCAACCATGGATGACAAATACAGGGGCAAAGCATAGGCAAAAAAAATCAAGTGGGGAGAGGTGGAGGATTATCCATACACCCCCGTATGTACTAAGGGACTAGATAGACAACACCATGGGACAAAGGTCCAACTTTTGGGCAGGAAATAAATAACAAATACCTTCAGGTTGCGGCACTCTCAATGTTGGTGTACCGTAGCTATGCGGCCAAGGCTCCCAGACCCCGCCACCTCCTCCCTATATGCTGTGACATGTGATATGGTGCAGTGAGGCCAAAGGAAATACGGGGCAGGAAAAGGAGCGGGGGGAAGGGGCGGAGGGACCGGTGGAGATCAAGGGAGGAAAAGGAAACGTCTTAATGGCATACGTGCACCAGACCTCAAAAGCCTCCACTCTTTGCGGTACCAATGAGTCTTCATTGTGCCCTAGTCCCAGCTGCCCGTTTTGATTTCGACCCCAGCTGAAGAAAATGATGATCGGCCCATGGATGGTCATTCCATCACAACAGAGAGTGTGATGTCATCATATTGGACAATTTCAGAAAACATTCAAGACAACAAAAAACAAGTGTCAACCACTTTTGACTCAAAACTTCAAAAGAACACCTTAGTAGTATGATTAGATGGCGCATAGCAATTTGCCAATTACATAATTACATGATAATTTGCATGGATACCAAAGACAAAAAATGGCAGCAAAAGCGATCATGATACGAGGAAGAAACACCAACACAACTAGCTCAGTTCGGGTACCCTTGAACAGACCTGAGTTCGAATCGAGATTCAAGCAGATGAACATCGAAGGATAAATTCCTAATAACCTGGGGCCAGTCAGTTCAATGATGAGATGATATCTCAAGGCGGTTGCCCGCTTGTTGTCAGAAAAAAGAAAGAAAAAAAAAAAGATAACGAGAAAGAAGTGCATCCACACATACCACACAACCATTGTGTTCATAATTTGCAGCAACCCGTACGTTGAACAATGTTTCAAAATGCGAAAACGAAATATAAGTTGATGACAATATATTATCTTTAAGAGTGTAACAATGTGACTTCATTCACGCCAATATGTACATCAGCAAAACAGAGCCAACTGCCTTAACCTACCTGACACAGTACGGGGGGTAGTATAAACTGACAATGATCTACAAGCACCGAGGAGCTTAGCTCAGTTGGTACACCCAGACCTAAGTTCGAGTCCTGATGGACCTAGATGAATGGAACGAGTATTTCTGAATTAACCGGGGCCGGTCACTTCCAAAAAAGAAAAAAGAAAAAAAGAAAAAAAAAAAAGAGCACTGATGGATACATGTAAGCCCTGCCTTTCCTCTCACTATCCTCCAAAATCCGTTACTGACACTCAACCACCTTCCCCCCGCCGCCCACAAGCTTCCATTCCCACTTCTCTCCTCCTTTAGTCTTGTTTAATCCTTTACGTGTTCTGGAAGAATCCCATTTCTTGGCACTGTGCAGTTCTGTTAACATTGAAAATTGGAAACAAATTCAAACAAGGGCTTAAACAAAGTTTCAAACAAGGACTTAAACAAAGTTAGGAATAAGACGGAGTTTCTCTGAGACTTCTGTTTATATCGGCCTATCACGAGTGTCTGAATGGTCGCTGTCCGAGGTGCGCAAGTTACGTGCCACCAACTCATTGGGCTGTGTATTGAGCATGGACAAGTGCATGAGATTGAATACACCCTAAGCACTATGGCTTCAGTCTATTAATCCTGGCTATCTTGTTAGGTGAGCCACCATCCCTCTCCCTCGTTACCAAGCGAGACTAGTCGGTAGTCTCTGTACAGCTGAATACATCCACAGCTAGAAACTTGAAAGTCTCTTAGGACAGCGTCTCCTTCAGTGAATCACCGTCCCCTTTTGGGCGCTTCACTGTCCAATTTACATGGTACGGTTCGACGCCTGAATCGGTCAGTTATGCAGGCTCGTGCCTAAGCCCCTCAGCCGCCAGGGCTGGTTTTCCTCTGACAGGACACAAAGTGAGTTTTCCAGCTCAGTCTGTAGCAGGGTAACACACAATTCACGGGGACACCGCCACACCCACCTTGCACAGTATAGTCGGTGGCCTGTGCTCTAAGCCTGAGGTGGATTTGGGTGAAGTATGCACCGGCTGTGGCAGCAATACTAGACAACTCTATACTGATAACTAAAGGAACTAGAGACCAGGCCAGCTGCTGGAGATGCATCCGGTATAGGAAAGTCAAGATAAAAATCAGTGTCACAGTTAACACTGCTGTCTCAGCAAACTCAGGCTGAAATAAGGGTCACAGTTCAGACGACCGTTTTGGGATCAGGAGTTAAAACCACCAGTAGTTCCTAAAGTTGTGCCGGTATACAAGCCATGATGTTAGGAAAAGTACAGGCCACTACAGGAACACCCAAATTCATCCGACTAGAAACGTTTCTACTCTATTTTTTTACCACGGGCCACCACGTCTGGGATCCGTTTTTACTGCAGATAGCTGGGCCAAGTACTGGTGTTCACTATAAATAAACACTCTGGCCCGGCATTCTAACACAATTCCATCCAGCAGACTAATACAACTCTCGTTAGATTGATATGCAATCCGGTACTGGATTTCATGGGATTCTGAATTTTCCATTGATCCACCGCCTGCAGTATAGTCTAATGCAATGACTTGCTGTTTTCTGGTCGCCTGTAGCCTCTCTCTGTCGAGGCTGTACCATAGGTAGATAGATTCGGAATTTTGTTTGGCTGAGGGCTAACTGAGAGACCTACCTGTGAGGGAAATCCGTGAGGGACATATCTGCAAATTCGGGAAAATACAGGCTCGGTACTAACTGGATTCCCTACAGTTACCCTAACTGCGTATAGCAGGCCCGGGCTACCCTAGGACAGACAGGCCCTAAGGGCCTATTCTGATAGACGGTCCTATAGCCTATAGCCGGGTCCGGTAAAGGCCGAGAGGCCAAAACAGAAACGGTACCGGTCGGTCAGTCAGTCCGGTCTAGGTCGGTGTAGGCTAGAAGTAGGATGGGCACATCGGTTCAGGGCTTTTGGCAATTGGTACCGAGTACATCGCGGCTGCGCTATGCATGAACCGGAAGTGGTGACGGCTCAGCGTGGAAGGAGACGGGCATAGCCAGACCTTCGGAGTGCAGGCCATAGCTGGGACCTGCGCTGTACTCTGCCAGCACGTAGGGGCTGACAGAGGTCTGGGGTATCGAGGTCTGCTGGAGGCGAGAGAGATTGGTGCCCTGCTGGACCCTCTCCGGAGTGGGGTCCCAGAGGGTTGGCGCTGCAGCCATAGCTGCAGCTCTTCATCTCAGAGATCATCTTGTCAGGGTTTGGTGGCGCTGCTGCAGGCTTCCACCCGGGAAGCCTCCCGACACTTCGTCATCATCAGTTACTGTGGCGCTGGTCTTCTTCTTCATCCTCTGAGTGGCGCTTGGCCTCAGAGGCCTGTTTCAGGGTGGCGCTGCCCCCAGGAGGCTGTATCTGGGTGGCGCTTGATGTTTCTGGGTCTCAGGGGGTGTTTCGGGTGTTATTCAGGGTTGGGGAGTGAAGCGCTGCTCATTTCTGAGCAGCGCACTGTAGTACTGAAGTTATCCTGACAATTCGAGACTCTGAGTTTAATAAACAGTGTGATACTGTGTTTGGACTATCATCGTTTCATTGTTCTCTGGATGTGATCTGCTCGGCTTTTCTCTACGACTGGTTGTGTGGATTGAGTGGAGTGAATTGCACTTTCAGTGTACCCTGTCATACCGCATGGTCAAGTCTTCCGCTGTGCCTATCTCTCCCTGTGCGGTGTGATACTCCTATCCTCTCCCCTTCCTTCTGTGTATGTATGGGCATGTGCAGAAGTCTATGTGAGTGAGTGTTGGCCTTCAGGCAACGAACAACCAGAATCATAACACTAAGACTCTAAGATTAAAAAGCTAGTTTTTTTACGGGCACTATGAGGATGATAGGAACTCTCTTTTAAAATTTTGAGCCACTATGAAGCTGGGTTTTTTACGGGCACTTCTTTTTTTCTTTTCTTTTTTTCCCTCTTCTAAATTTTGAGCCACTTCTCTATTTAATAGTATTTTTACTACTTATACATGTCATCTTTATGCAGGGGTCATTCTAATCTTCTCTGTACCGCTCCAATTTTAACGTATGTCTCAAAAGCATCAAAGGACACGATAGGAGCTTTTTTCTGGAAAATATTTGAGGGACAAATTTACTTCTCATAGGCAGGAAATGGAGAATAGAGGTAAAGCAGTGTTAGCATTTATGTATGGAATGCCAATGAGAATCACAAGGGAAGAAGAAAGAAAGAAAGAAAAAACAAGGGTAACACACCACTCGAAACTTGCACATGAACTTCTCAAACACCAGAAACAAGGCACGGGCCTCATCGACCTGAACGTAGTATTTTCAGCATTGCTGCAACGCTAGGGTCAGAATTTTCGGGACACGCAGTTTATCATGTCAGGACTTAACTGTGTAGTATGCATCCTCCCCACCCTTGGATGCCTGCCAGATCCCACCATCCTTTGGTTTCCAGCGGAGGGTTCCCACTCGCAAAGAGGATTGGATTAAGCTCCTGAATCTGGATGCAGAAAAGCAGTGCAATCTCTATTTCCTGCACCTCTCCACAAATACGTCAAGATTCAGGCTTCAGTCCAATCCTCTTTGCTAGCAGGATTTCACCCCAGTAGTCGTTCTGGCGATACACGTACCCAGCTTTCCACATTTTCCTCAGGCCACTAAAATACCCTTTGATTGTGGCCATCGGATACTCCAAGGGTCAGATATATCCCTCAAAAGACCTAGAAATAGTCTGCTAGGAGTCTCACAGGCTTGCTGCAAGCTTTCGGGGAGGTAGTGCAATCTTTTGAAACCTCTTGGGAGCAGCACGGTAAAAGGGGTTCCCTGTTTTGTTTGTTTGTTTGTTGGTTGGTTGGTTGGTTTAACTTGGTTAGTTGGTTTTGTGTTGTTTTGTTTTGTTTAAAGCCACCACCACCTGCGAGCCTCTTTTTCAAAGGCAGACAAAAACTGTGCGTCGAGCTTTAGCGAAGCGCCAGGGTCTTACCATCTAGCCGCTGGTACTCCGCATCTTCACGGAGAATTCAATTTCACTTAGCCCATGTTGGAGACAGCGGGGCATTCGTTACACCATTCGTGCAGGTTGCTACTTATGCAACACAATTGTGTCAATTCTAGGCTACCAGCCGGGCCGCCCGGGTCACCCTATTTTCCCGGACGGCCCGGCCGCGCAAGGACCAGGGAAGGTCCTAGCAAAAAAAAAGAAAAAAAAATCAACAAATCTGAAAAACAACTATGTTATGCAGGAAAAATAAACTGAACAACTTTTGCCTCAGGGTCACATCGAAATTCTTTACCAAATATTAAATAAAAAATAAAGTTAAAAAATAATTTTATTTTTATTTTTTTTTTATTTTCCCCCAGCCACTCTGGTAGCCCAGTGTTTATTGAAATAAACTTTGAACATCATTTCAACCGAGGCCTTCCTCCTTTTCTTTTCTTTTTTTTTATAAAAGTCCATGGTGTTACAGAGGCCAGTCACTGAGTGCACAGTGAT